AGCAGCTGCATGTGGAGGCAGAGACATTTTATTGACATTAAAATCAGAAATGAATTTATAATGAAGAGAAATCCAACATTCCAGTAACCTGTAAACTCTGTGTAGAGAGACAGAGCTGCAGCAGCAGAGACGCAGCAGACACGCAGCAGAGACGCAGCAGGTGTGAACACACACACGTGATTCTCCGCAGCAAGTCAGCGATGTCCGCCGCCATGCTCACGCAACGCAGGCAGTGTGTTCCTGGCTTGCCTCTCCTGGCGGTGCAGCTCTGTGGCCAGCACAGATATTACAACATTTCACTTGTTTCATTTGAACACATTTAAACTCATCTTGTTGCTTTTAATGCTATAGCATTCTGTTGGACATACAACTACCCAGAGTGCTTTGTGTTGGTGCCACGACAACCACTTTTCACAACCTTTCCAGCAGCTCAGATACATCACAGATACAGATTCAGCAGCTGCTGATGATTTCCTAAAATAAAAGATTTACAGTTGTGCTTGTTAAAATAATAGAAATGATGGAAATCAATGTGTGCGGCACGTTTCTTCAAAGAGTCTTCACTGTGTGTTGGCACTCTTTTATCTTCATGTATACATGTGGTGCGTTACATTTACAGGCAGTGAGGGTTAAGATCAAACCTCCTCTGGGCTTTACTTCTGTTTTATACACCAGCTGCTGGAAAATTAGCAGAATGAGCTATTAGGAAGCTGCGTTAATTAGGCTTCACTTTAAAACAGCATGATACCACAGTCTGATTAACTAAGCAACACATAGTCCCCGCACACTCCCATCTGGTTCCTTGTTCTTTAACTCTGCACAGACCTGACAACGTTTACACCACAAATGGTTTTCCTCAGGTCGAGGTGACAGTATGAACAACCTGTATATGTAGACTGTGATGACACGTCATTTGCAAATTGGATAATTAGCAGGATACATGTGAGAGCAGTGGCTGATAATCCCATTGTCTAATAATTATAATTATAATCTCATTGCTGATGTGTGTGTTCTTGTCACACACAACAAATAAATCTCAAATCCACTTTACCTAGGGAACACATGTAAACTCATTCATTTGTAAGATTTTAAGAAAAATACAGAATCAGACATTAGAATATGATGAGATTCATTCCTTTGGTCTACCAAAGATCAGAAAGTTTTCCATACAAAATAAAAAAACAAACAAAAGAATAGAAATTCCTAATGCAGGCGTCTGAAATTTAATTCACAATAATCGGATCAGAGAGAGTCCACCTTCAAAATCCATATAGGACAAAAGATCTAACGATTGAATATGTGTAAATATTTGTAAATATTATTATTGGTACTGGAACATAAAAAAAATCAAATATCATAACCAGTGTAAAGCATTTAGTGACATCTAGTGGTGAGGTTGCAGATTGCAATCAATTGAATACCCCTCCCTTCACCAATCCCCTCACCACTCCCTTTCCAAGTGTGTAGTAAAACCATAGACTGTAAATAAAGATGGATGTAGCCTCTGTGACGTCACCCACAGTGAGTGAGCTGCTCCACTGTCACCATCTCGGCAGTGTCTGACTCCCTGAGTCCTTCACACTGGTCCTTTAATACACATGAAGAGAAAAGCTGAGTCAAGAACTGAACCAGCAGTTTCACTGAAGAGCTCAAAGGATTCTGTTACTGAGTACTGATTTGTGTTGTAGCATCAATGTGTTCATGTAGTATATTTACATGTTCTATATACAGTCACCAGCCACTTTATTAAGGTACACCTGTTCAACTGCTTGTAAATGCAAAAATCTAATAGGCCAATCACATGGCAGCAACTCAGTGCATTTAGGCATGTAGACATGGTCAAGTCAATCGGCTGAAGTTCAAACTGAGCATCAGAATGGGGAAGAAAGGTTATTTAAGTGACTTTGAACGTAGCATGGTTGTGGGTGCGGGCTGGTCTGAGTATTTCAGAAACTGCTGATCTACTGGGATTTTCACACACAACCATCTCTAGGCTTTATAGAGAATGCTCCGAAAAAGAGGAAATATCCAGTGAGCGGCAGTTCTCTGGGCCAAAATGGCTTGTTGGTGCCAGAGGTCAGAGGAGAATGGCCAGACTGGTTCAGGCTGATAGAAAGGGAACAGTAACTTAAATAACCACTTGTTACAACTGAGGTATGAAGAAGAGCAGAAGAGCATCTCTGAACACACAACACGTCGAACCTTGAAGCAGATGGGCTACAGCAGCAGAAGACCACACCAGGTGCCACTCCTGTCAGAGAACAGGAAACTGAGGCTACAGTTTACAAGTGGTGGAATGGGAGATTAGCATCATGGATGTGCAACTGACAAATCTGCAGCAGCTGCGCAATGCTATCATGTCAATATGGACCAAATCCTCTGAGGAATGTTTCCAGCACCTTGTTGAATCTTTCCCACAAAGAATTAAGGCAGTTCTGAAGGCAAAAGGGGGTCCAACCTGGTACTAGCAAGGTGTACCTAATAAAGTGGCCACTGAGTGTATAATTCAAAGACATGACATGACCTGTCTGATTAAAGTGGACTGCAACTGGGCTTGTTCTGTGTCTGATACCTACCAATAATCTACTGGTTTTACCCACGCTGGCTAGTCCACCACACCCCTATTAACCCATCAGGCCCCGGGGCAGAAACGAGTTGTGGGCCCCAAGCAACCTCCAGATGAAGATTCAGATTGATCCTGATCAGGCTGCTCACTTTAAAATTGCTCTGTAATAAATAGGCCTATATTTCTTGACAGTTTTCAACATGTTTATATGTTTTTGTAATCCTTTTATGAGCACTGCACTCTGACCTTTTTACATACAGTCTCTGACTCTGGCCTGCAGTGACGTATTGTTAGTGAACTTCAGCTTTTGACCACAGGGCGTCAGGATTGGTCTCTGTATGGTGGTGGACCGACAGCCTGATAGATGCTTTCATATCTGCACATACACATCTAAAAGAGCTGCATTCATTTTAACTCTGAAAAGGAATGATTTACTACTTTTTAAAATGTGAAATATTAATATGGCAGACATCCAACACGCCTCCTCTCATACCTACAGGTTTCCATGACATAATGATCTGATATCAGCTACTAACATCAACATTATTATGTTTTGTCCATATAAGATGCATGAGTTCCACACACAGGTTTTAGTAGCTATAAACACCATCACAATGTAGGGATCATCCCCTGACAAGGAAACTACCATTAATAACAATATAATATAATAATGATAATGATAATTTTTTTTTTTTTAAATAGCCAGAATTCTAAATCACAATTTGTGTGATGTTATTGCATGAATATAATATAAATGATTAAAATTTAAATTAAAAACATGAAAAAATAGGCCTAAAGAGATTTTAAAAATAAGAAATGATTTTAAAAAAACAATAGATTTTGTTCTCCACATGTCTATTTTCCTGTCTAAAATGTACTTTTTCTTTTGAAATCCGTTTTTTTTTATATCTCAATGTGTCTCAGCTGAAACAACAGACCTGCTCTCTCTTGTTTATGTGGACTTCATACGTTTTTGCTGTTTCTCTAATAAATTCTCATGATGCTTCATGAAATCCAGTCGGTGTGTGTCGGAGCGGCGGGAGGTTTTATCAACGCAGACTCCTCCACCACCTCCGTGTTTGCATAACACAGACTGAAGGACAGGTTCAGTAGAAGGTGTCACTTCTGATTGGTCCTCGCTCCTTGACAATTGAACCTTGCGATATTTAATTTCCCGCTAATTAAAGCCTCCTGCCGCTCATGACGACTTCTATCTGCAAACTGACCGTGAATGCAGCGCGAACAAAAGAGCAGACAGCTGATGGATAAGAGTCACACAGCTGATCTCAGGCCCGCACTGACTCACACATGATCAGTCTGAATCAGACAATAATGTGATGTCATGTGGGTGATATTTAATATGGTGAATCTGTATTGTGGAGGCTTTTAACAGCGCGGGTCATCAGGCAGATTTTACTGCACAGATTTCATTTTTATATTATTTATTTTTGAACTCACTGAAGCTTATTTTAAAATGTATAAGTAAATCTAGATCTGTAATAATCATCATCATAATATAATATAACGTAATGTAGTCTAATAATATATCTGTAAATGGAAAAAATCTGGAATTTAAATGTGTATTTAATAATGATATTTCTATTTGACCATAAAATATATTGCTCTTGAATATTTCATCACTATGGCGCCAAGTCAATAAACCATTTATTATCATTTGGAATTTTCATATTTCAAATTCGGTTAAATATGGAAATATATTATTGGGTCCTGTTATATTTCATTTGTTTTTGTCTTTTTCATTTCCTTCTCTAATCATCATGTGACCCTTCAGGTTTTTTTTATTTTTGACTTTTTGAAGAAGATTAATTTGAAGAGGTTCTGGTAAGAAGGGGAAACACTGGTCTAAATGCTGCCAGGAAGAAACACGGAAAATGTTTTAAGGGATAAAACTAAGGCTGAAGAGTGATGAACTGCAGACACGTGTTTCTTGGTCGTAAATTTGTCCCCTGCTTTAAATCTACCACAGAGTCACTGCATGACGTTGAAGGCCGGTGTGGATTTTCAGACAGTTTAGGATCCAGTCAGTATCTGGTTTTTGTGGAGGCGGATCCGGGGCGGTGGAGAGAGGGCAGGGGGAGGGGGAGGGGGAGGGGGAGGGTTCCTCTCTCCGCTCTCACCCTCTTTGACACAGAGACTCGGGCTGAGGATGGCACATCAAGCTTAGCACTGCTGGACCGTTTTCTTTCCGAACATCTGGATTTACATCAGCTGATCATCAGTTTTCCTGGAGACCGGAAACTTGTGAAGGTTTCAGCTTTGCGGATTTTACAGACTCCACTTTCTTTTTGCCGCTCCTCCAGATTTTTAGAGATCTCAGAGGGGGGAAGGAGCAGAGCGCACAGACAGACCCGGGTCTCTTATGGACGTTGGCAGAAGTGTGGAGCGCGCGGAGCGGCGCGGTCATCACCCTGCTGCCTGTTTAAAGATGCTGAATGACATTAAAATCGAGGATCGTCTGCGGACTGACGCCTGCTCTCTGGAGGTTATGATCGGTGAGTCTGTGTTGTTTGTGTGACGGGCCTGCAGACCGCCCCAGGACCCGGTCTGTGATCACTAGGAACTGATTTTTTACCTTTATGGTATAAATTCTTATTCCTCTTTCCGCCCGACACTGCTCAGAATCTTATTTTATTTACTTTAATTTGATTTTATATTATCATATGATAACATGTAAGGCCCATCTTTATTTTTTATTCTTTAGGCTATTTGCTTTTCTTCTTTATTTGTGGATTTTATTTTTTATTCGAGGCCAGAGTGAGAAAGTGAAAAAAATCTTTCCATAAAGGACAGTTTTTCTGCTGCAAGTTAGAATTAAGGACAGAAAACATGAAGTCCTTCTATTGTCAGATAAAACACTATTTGAATGTTGTATCCTGTATTGTCCATTGTAACCTCATTTTATATTATTTATTTATTTGTGTTTTAGATGAGTTTTTGGGGCCTCTTTAAACAAACATGAATAATTCCAGCTCTGTTTTTTTTTACTTTAAACCATATGATACATTTTATAATTCAGACTGTACAAAATAGAAATAGAGGGGTTTCTGAAATCTAAATGATGAATGCTCAGGCCTGATGCTTCTCTTCATGCAGTCAGCGGGTAGAAGACAAAAAGGCTACATGGATCTTCACTATATTAGGGGAAAAACCAGCTCTGAGAGCACATGTAAATGTAATGTAAATGTCACATTCAGTGCAGCCAAATCTACTATTGTTGGTTTTATTTAGGCCTTTAATGTGACACAGTGAAGGGAAACAGGCCCACAGTATAATTCAAACCCTCGGCTGGAGTCATTCACCCAAAGATCTACAGCCACAGTCAGACATCTATAACCTCAAAACAATGAAGGTAAACAGGAATTTATTTGTGCTGCTTACAGCATTACAAAATAAAAGACATTTAAAAATACTGATAGCATATATCATATCAACAGATTATAATGAGGACGGCTCCTGAGAGCATGTCAAGGTAAACAACACTGCCCAGGCCTCAGAGGATGGATCTGCTCATTTGATATGATCATGTGATCTGCCATAATTTGATCTGCCATATGCAACTGTTTGAGCATTAAGATGCTGACGGTGGTTCATTGATAGTAACTGAACAAAAGAGATGAAGCAGCAGGTACAAATGCTGATGATGGAGAAAACAAAGGAAGCTCAGTAACTAATGAGACATGAGGCTGAACAGTACAGAGACATGTGGGCTCACTATTTGGCAAGCAACAGGTCACTGTTACCCTTTTTATCTAATGTGTTATAACAGCGAATAAATAATTTACAAGTGTTGACAAGCTAATTAACAAACTAGTTATAAGCCATTCGTGTATGCTTTATAAGGGGGGTCTGATTGTAAAGTGATACCTATTGATAATTCTGCAGCAACCGTCTCCACAGACCTCAGTGAGAACAATTTTATTTTCCTATCATTTGTGTGAACTGAGCCTTTAACACAGAGGACTCAGCCATGACACAGGAAACAGGCTTTGACTGCTACTGCAAAGTCTGCTACTATATTAATACAGATGTAAAAACCAGTGATGAATCAGTGAAGTTCTCACTGTGCCAGACGGGCTTTGGTCTTTGGTCGTGTAGTGTGAGTGGCTGCTCCTCTTTGTCCATCTCCTCCTGACTGACAGTCACTTCGCGGGCTCTGCTGTTGGTTTTATAGTGTCTCCCTCCTCTCCGGCAGGCGGGGACTCTCAGCGGGCCGTGTGCGAGGGCTGCGCCCGGATCATCTCAGACCGCTTTCTGATGCGGGTCAACGACGCGTCCTGGCACGAGGAGTGCCTGCAGTGCGCCGCGTGCCAGCAGCCGCTCACCGCCACCTGCTACTTCAGGGACACCAAACTGTACTGCAAGAGCGACTACCAGCAGTAAGACCCGTCTCTCCTCACTACAGCGGGGCTCAGTGCGGCCTGCAGGGCTGCGGCTGGAGGGGGAAGCTTTGGAACAGCTAGAATACAAGAGAGAAAGAAAGCTTAGTGGTAGCGTTTACTCAGTCATTACACATGATACACTAAAGATAAAAAACACAAAAACATAAAAACCCACAAACTCAAGCCACATTCTAATCAATTTAAGCTGCCCGCCAAAAAGAAAAGAAAAGCATTCACACTTGTGACCCTCAGAAACAGCTCTGTAAACCACTCTTCAGAAAACCATAAGCCAATTACACATTTTTAAATTTATATCAGCACTGTTCCATAATTTAACCCCAACAATAGAAACACACACACACGTCCCTTTAAATCCCTTTCAAGCCCTTTGTCCAGTAAACCTAAAAACACCTCTGGTATTTGCTCTCATGCATTAAAAAGACCTTTTGTACAGTTTGGCTGTTTGGTTTTAGACTGTATCTAATCTAATCTGATTTTTATCTAAATACTGATCTGTGTTCAGATTTAGGTTCATTCTGCATTTGAATCATTTTCCATTTTCATCTGCAAAACAATCACTTCAGCAGATCGAAGGCAGATGGATCTGTTATATCTGTAGATTCTAGCCCATATATCATTTCTTTTTCACCTATAGGCCATGTGCTATTCTAAATGTAAATGTACAGATTTCCATTACTTATTATTTTGAGCCTTATTTTTGTTATTGCAACTAACAAACAATGTAAATAGTAACTCAAAAGATTATTTACATTTAAATTTAGTTAGGTTATTACTTTTTTCCTATGAAGTAATCATGAATTTCAATGAATGAATTAATCAAGTCTAATATTAGGCTAGCAATTTAATTATTATTCTGTCTTATTTAATTTAATTTAATTTAATTTAATGAGTTAATTAAAGGGTTAATATTGATATTATATATTGATAATATAACATAAAATTTACTGCAGTGCTTTGATATGAAATATAGAAAATTAGTATATTTTGTTATTTGTGAAATATGAGGAAAAAAGCCACAATACTCTCTAATCAACTAATCATCTAATTTAGGAATTAAAACATCTTATTAACATTAATATTAATATTAATATTAATATTGTTTTCATATGAAAACTCATTGTTTAATGTGTTGACTTAGTTCTCAGTTTAGTTCATATTTATTAGGTTTTCATGTAATATCGTATATAATGAACTGTATAAGTCATAAAGTCGCATGGATCAGTGTGCAGTGGTGATTACTTTAAATTGCACATCTGTATGCAGCTGTTGTGTTACAGCTCAGTAGGACTGACTGGGTCAACATAGACTTTAATGCGCTTTAAAACTAATAAAGTGTACATTGTAAATTGAATAATTCAAAGACAGTAACAGTTAACAATAAGAGAAGTGACAGCACCGAGCTACAAGAATATGCATGATTGATGTGATGGGAATAGTTTTGAGGCAAACTGTAGGAAATGTGTGTAGACATGTTTATCAGGAATTTGTCATTAAATACACAAATATATACAAATGTTATAAACATGTGAGGGAGCAGTAAATGTCTTTTGAAGAAGAAGAAGAAGAAGAAGAAGAAGGAGGAGGTGTGAGCAGGACATCAAGAATCTGCTGCTCATAGAAATCTGCTGAGATTACAGTTGGAAGCCTTTGGTGTGGTTGTGGTTTGACAGTGCTGTGTTCATATGAGCATTGTTGTTTGGGGGCGGGGGGGGGGGCTCCTGCGAGTGGGGGGTCTCTCTGTTGTATTGGGGGTTTTTCCAGACAGGCTGGGCTGCGTGCTGACAGCAGGCCGTCTGACTGTCAGATCATCTCTCTGCTGGGTGTCTCTGTGACTCGGTCTGCTTTTCTTTAAAGTCTTTAAACTCTCACTGTCAGAGCTTCAGTGTCACTGCTGCACGTCTGAGCTCCAACAATGGGCAACATGTACTTCTAATATCATCACACTGCAGACACATCGTGGATTCAGTTCAGGAAAAATCACAATGCATCGAAAAATGTTAAATTGTTTTAGATAGATAGATAGATAGATAGATAGATAGATAGATAGATAGATAGATAGATAGATAGATAGATAGTTGATGATAATTTTATAAGAATCACATACAGGTGTAATAATTAAACCCTTCAACCTTTCAGAGAAAATTATTGTATTTTTCACTTTTTGGGATTGCATTGAGGATGTCTTCTTTGAGATTTAAATCAAAGAAATCCAAAAACAAAAATATAGATAAAAAAACATATTAATAAAATATAGTTTGACAATCAAATTAGAGCAAGTAAAAAGCTCAGGACGACCCAGAGAGAAGATCGTGTAAGGAAAGATCGTGTTTCTTTAAGAACTGCCTCGCCTGGTTTTCTGAGACACCTTGTTCCAGATTTGAGGGGCCCTGCTTCCCAAGGCCTCATCTGGTTTTTAGTCTTGACCTGGAACCACTTCCAAAGACCAACCAGAGGAGCTCAGGCTGCTCTCAGGTCACAAAGAAAGTCAGGAGCAAATGCCATTAAAATATTAAAATCTACTGTTAAACATACAGGAAACTGTACATTAGTGTGGATAGATTGACAGAGTCTCTAAAGTTAAATTAGATACATACAATCATACATACAGTGATAAAAAAAAATGATTAAAAAAGACGGAAATATTGGTTCACTGAATTTTGATATTGATCAGAATTAAGCTTATTATTAAAAATAATAACTGTATTTCACAGAGAGTGTAGTGGAGATGTGAAATACAATTTATCTCATAAATTTCCTGCTTGTATTATAGTGAAACACTGAACGCTAAAATATCAACATTATTGTTAAGAGACCAAGCGTTTGGCTTGAGGAGGAAATAATTGAGAGGATCATTAGTCATCAGTGTAAGTACAGGTCATGTCCCACTGTGCTGTACAGTCACAGTCAGTCTGCAGGCAGGTTCGTGGTGTCTTCTTCTTTCAGATTATGATCACTGGACTGTAGGGAGACATGTGCAGCTTCAGAAACAACAGATCCTTTAGAAATCTTCAAAATGCACCTTTTGGATTTACGTTCATCATCCATTTGTCTTTTATCTCATTTATCTGTCTGGATAAAAGCAAAATGTCCTGACCTCAAACTCTATTCATGTCATACACATTTAAAATAAAAAAACACCCCAGCATGTGATTAAAACAAAATAAATGCATTGGTATTGTATTTATAGTCCATAATTATTGTTCTAGGATCTTAATGCAGCTGCTGTGAATAATCCACTGAGTGTTTAGCTTTGATGTCGCATCACCTCTGGACAGGAAACAGACCGATGAAATAAATTGCAATAAAGTGGATACTGTTGAGCTGTTACACTGATTTGAGAAAAATAGCTGTTGTTTAGATCTAACAGAAAATACTTTCATATGTTTGTCAATACAGTCCAGTCCAAATATTGTGATATATGATCTTAGTTTATTTATTTATTTTTTGCTGGCTGGTGTGGTTTCAGGGGTTTCAGTTGGTTGTTTTTTTTTCAAATAATGTATAATTATATTATTGTATTTTATGTTTCAGATATAAACCCTGCTGTCACAGTTCAAATTTTTATTCATCACATGATTCAATTGATTACATGGTTCAGTGTACAGTAAGCAAGGCAGTGACATGAGGGTCAGACACGACAGCAGGACAGACTGCTGAAAATAAAATAATAATGATTATTTTTGTTTTCGATGTCACGAAAAATATTACACACTGCGGGAACTATCAAGCGTTTATGTCACTGTAACAAACTACAATTGAATAAGTTCATATACTCAATTCGATTCAATTCAATTCGATTCAATTCAATTCAATTCAATTCAATTCAATTCAATTCAATTCATTTCAATTCAATTCAATTCAATTCAAGAAATTTTATTTTTCCCGAGGCAATTTAAAGGGCTCATAGATAGACATTAAAAACAGACAAAATACACAAAAAAGAACACACAACCAGTGCAACACAAACTGTGCACATCAAGAAAAATGACAATGACATGAAGAAACAACAGTGCAAAACAATAACCTGTAATATTATAATGAGACCAATAATAACACGGGAGAATGACATCACTAATGCAAATAAATAACTCACACATAAATAAGTGTCTGTACACATTTTAATAAAAAGATTAGCTATATTAGAGATAGTCTTAGTGAATTAAAAACTATGTTACTTTTATACATGTACAGTATATGTGCATATTTGGAATGTGAAGTATATGAGCTTGGATAAATAGCAGCAAGTAACTGTATAACTGTAACTACAACAGAGAAATATGATGAGTCAATATTAGGAATATTAAAATCACTAAAGAGACATTATCAGAGCACTGTAGAAATTAGAGAAACAAAGGTTTAGCCTATAGCCTATAATCAATTTTACATATAGCTGTTACCTGGCAACAGCTGCTTTCTCACCACACCTCTAGCTACTAGCTACTCCAGCTGGATTCAGTCAGTGAAAGGACAGAGGTGTAACACTCAGTGATGTTGGTGTTTTGTATCAGTGTCAGTCCATTTGTACTTTTGTGTGAATGAAAGAAGTTTAAGATTATAAATGTCTGATGTGACGATATGTGTACAACTTAAAAAGCCTGTTCAGTTTTTTTTAAACATCACACCCCCCCCCCCCCCCCCCCACTGAGTCTCATGACCTCTTGACCTCTTGATGCTTCAGGTTCTGGTTACACACCAGAAGCCTCAGCTCAAACAAACGGCCACAGGAAAGTCAGAAAGAAACAAACACCATCTGTGGTAGCCGGTGTTTTTGTGCCTCGGCTGTGGTGGTGGCAGATCATTCTGTTTTGCGAGGTGCTGATAAACGATGTGTTTTGGCGTGTGGTTTGAAGGACTTGTTGACAGCTCAGCCTGCTTCCTACACACTAACAATCACTGCAGTGTGCTTCAGTATAACACAGATACAATCCTGTGTTAACTTTGAATTAGTCCCACTTGAATATTACTCATTATATTGT